ATTTAGGAAGGAATAAAGATAATAAATTACAGGTTTTGAATGTAAAATAGGCTATATTATATCATCAGATTCAAAGGAACTCATTATTGATTTTGAAAATACTATTTGTTTTGCATATAGCGGAACACTACTTGAGATATTAAATTTTATTGATTTAGATGAAAATTGTTTTCCTCCTGAAGATTTGATAATTAAAAAAAAATAAGTAACAATGATAAATTGGAAAGGAATTATTGCATATCCAAATGAAAATTCAAAAGATAATCTTGTTTCAAGAGGTGGGATTAATTATATATTGGAGAAAAATAAGAATAATACTTCATAGAAATTAACAATCACAAATTTAGAAGTATTTTTATGCCCAGAAAATGAATTACTAGAGTACAAATTCAGTGATGTAGTGAAAAGACATATTATCTTGCCTATGTATGCTTTTGTAGGATTAAATGAGAAGGAATGCTAACAATAACTTGATTTTTCAATTGAGAATTTAAATATTTAAGTTTCATATGAAGATCTCACACCTATTTATGCTTCATATTTATTCTAAAAAAAGTAGCTTGAATTGCAAAAGTCAATAAAATAAAATAAACAATAAGAAGAGAAATTGCTTTTGGCTAATGTTCAAGTACATTAGGCTGACATAGTATTTGTATCTTTTATTGAAAGCCCTGTACCATTGTTTTAGTTTATTATTAAAGATTATCAAATGAGTGTAACTAAAAGAAGGAAGTATATTATGAATTAGTAAACTTTTTTTCAAGCATAATTTTTCAATTTAGACATTGGTGCTTGGGAACCTTTCATTGAGCCTTTAGTTATATTAAGTGATCATTCTAAAGATAGTTAAGGTAACCCTTAAATTTTCACTTCGATTGTTGTCAATGAATCAAGTGAATCACCAATGAATGTCAATTTCACAAAATAGAACATAAAATAATTGATAGAACTCCATAAAAGATGGGAACAATCAATTCAAAATATTGAAAAAAACGTTTAAATTAAATAACGTTCTCCTTCTAGAATTTCTAGGAATAATTCAATTGCATAATCAGCCATTGAAAAAGTAGTTTGTATGTCTCCTTATATTGTTGATAATTAAACAGGATATGAAATTGAACTAACCATAATTAATAAAACATAAAAGAAAATTGATACTGCAATTGTTGCTGCATATTAATAATTTGGATTAAAATATGCAGAATAAATGGAGAAAAGGGTGCTTTCAATTTTTATAAGATCCCCTTAATCTAATTTCAAAGAAATAAATAATTTACACTTTTCGAGAAATAAGGATGAATCAAGACAGATTGAATACAAGATAGGAATGCTCAATAAAGTAACCTAAATTTTAATCAGAATTGAAACTTTAGATTAATAAAAAATTTTGACTATTAGTTCAGATATTTTGTTTTTAAATAATAGTTAATCAGATATAGAACTTAGATTAATAAATAAAATAACATAATAATAATTAATTTTAATTGTTTTAAAAAATGATAAAAAGTACATTCCAATAGGATATGAATAATCAATGATATTAGTCAGATATTCAAATGATGGAGTTTGGTCTTAAGGAATGGACCTTTAAAAACTTATTTTGAAAAATGGAAATTATAATTTGTTTATTAATACTCCTTGCTTAGTTTTAAGTGTTAAATAACCTGCATTGACAACATAACCATTTGAGCTCAAATTTGTCTGTCCATTTGCAATTAAAAACTTATTACTTTTACCTATAGATATATATTTTTGTATTGAGGATTATTGTAGAATAGAGCCGAATCAAGCATTAAAAATATCAAATTCATAATTAAATAAAGGCTTAAAATTAAAAATTAAATTGCCAGGATTTTAAAAATCTCAATAAATTGAGTTAAACGAATAATTTAAGTAATAAGATTTTATTATTCGAGATTTTCTTGGTTTAGAGTTAAGCTTATAATTAATCCCTTTATATGATGGGGAAGGATTAATTACAATAGGAGTAGATGGTGGATTAACTATCTAAAATTCTTTAGGACTAGATATATATTTTTATACTCTAAACTAATAGAAGTTACTGATTTATTAGCCTGGATAACCAATTTTTTAAATCACTGATCAACTTGACGATAAATTGAGAGAAGATGGGTGCTTATAAATTGTTAACTCTGTTGATAATTTAATAATCACCTTTGAATAATGCAATTAAGAATAAATCCCAGATAAAATATCCCAACCTATTGATACTAAAATCAATGGATAATTTCTTGTATAAATTCCAAAAGAAAATGGTTATATGGATATAATCATTGATGTCCAAACAATTATTGTACATAATATTAGTTAAAAAAAAATAATTTATCTAAACCCAAGAATTGTAATTGTCAATAAACTAAAAACAAATCTAACCATATTCTAGGATCGTTGCAATTAAGAACTCTTTATAATGCCAGATGCTAAATCCCCATATTTTTGGAGGAAGATTTAAGGATCAAAATATTTAAAGTTCAAACTCAAAGATCTAAGCAGTGGATCAATCTCTGCTGAAATGTAAGGAACCCTTAATTTACCTTTGAGAAATTCTAAAGGTTAATTAATGGATTATTTAAGTATTAACTGTATGGAAGAGGATAAGATTAAGTACATAATAGTCCAAGAATCTACTCAAAAGCCACTCTATAAAATAATTAATTAATTGAACTATGACATATGCTTTTATTAAACTGAAATTCAAGAATTGAATGAATATATCAAAACAAATTTACCTATGGGAGGTAGAGTTGACTATTCACTAGATAATCCTGGATATACTAGAATGATAACTTTAGAATTATATAAAAATGGATAATTCTCTGATTTTGTGAAAGTTGAATTAGTTAATTCTGATTAAACCCGTTAATATAAGATGGCTGATGATGAAATATTCTATTTGAATACTTAGTTTTCTTTAGATCAAAGACAAATGATTGTAACTATATCTAATAGCGAGTAACCTAACAAAAAATTGAATTACGACAATATTCTCAATTAATTTAGCGTTCTTATACCAAAATTGAATATATCAATCATAAATTCATATCCAAGAGATGAACTCCTTGCTATCTCAATTTAAAAAATAGAATTTATTTAATTAGTTGATATATTAGAAACTATTTAAATTAAAATATAAGATTTATAAATAGACAATAATTAGCATTTTAGATGTACATATCCTGTTTTAGTAACATAATAAAATGAAAAATCGAATATTCCATTTATGAATGCTCTATTAAAAAGGGCGCACTAAATAAATTTCATAAACTATTTTGAAACTGTAAAATTGGCTATTCATCCCATCTCTGTTAGAATAACTGAAGGGACCTTTTGTGAATTAGAAAGTTATTTAAAATCTTTAGAATGGATTGAAGAGTAAAAGATGAAATAATTGAGAGTTTGGCAAAAAGATAAAAGTTTAAAATAATAATTATGCTTTTTCGATAATTTATAATTTTTTCCACTTTAATTAAAACTATCATTTTAGAAAGTTGAAAAAAAAAATAATAAATAATATCTTAAATCAGCTGCTAGTTAAGCCATAAATTGTGATGAAGTAAGCATAACAATTAAAGGTTATGCAATGACTAACTGTTATACAACTTGGGATTAATTGTAAAATAAAATGATGTAAAATTATAAGGATGCTATCTTCTCAAATTTATATAAGTTAGTAGGTTCGATTGATTTACTTGGAAATCCTATAGGATTGATTGAAAATGTATAAGAAGGTTTTTAAGACTTATTTGAAATGCCATATGATGGATTCGTTCAAGGACCATTAGAAGGAGGTTTAGGCATAGTCAAAGGAGTTGGATTTTTAACAAAAGGTGTAGTGTCTGGTACCTTCAATTCTGTTAGCAAAATAACTGGAAGTGTAGCTTCAGGCATATCATAATTATCAATGGATGATGACTATTTACATTATAGATAATTACAAAATTCAAAAAAAGCTAAAACTCTTGTACACGGCTTAGGTTAAGGGATGGTAAGCCTTGCATCTGGAGTAGGTTATGGTTTAGCCGGACTTGTGACTCAACCATATTAGGGAGCCGAAAAAGATGGAGTTGGAGGCTTTTTTAAGGGAGTTTCCAAAGGAATAGCTGGTTTAGTCATCAAACCTGTTACAGGAGCACTTGATTTAGTGAGTAAAACTTCTGAAGGAGTAAAGAATACAGCTAATTTTTTTGATGATAAGCCTAATGAAATGAGAAAAAGACTACCTAGAATTTTTTATGGAGAAGAATAAATATTAAGAAATTATATGCTCTAAGACTCTGAAATAATGTATATTTTAGATAGTAAAAACTTTTATTAAAAATTTTAGAATTAATTCCTGGGCTAATCTTAATTGACACATTTGTGTTCATGATCACAAAGTACAAATTTGCATACGTAATCACAACAAAATAATTTATATTACTAGAAATATTAAAAAAGCAAATTTTGATTGCATTTAATAATGACAATTTAAAGGCATACGAATCTCAATAAAAGGAATACAAGATATATCTTTACAATTCTAAAATAATTTATAAAGAGAGAGCAAAAGTGAAGGCTTATATTGAATAGAAAAAAGAATGTTTGGTAATAAAGCAATCGGATGAGAAAATACATTAATTTTTAAATGAAAAGCTTAAATAAATACTTTAACTTATCTATGATGTTTGAATTTGAAATTATTATTTCAATGAGGGTTTTTATTCATATATTAAAATTATTTTTGAAATATTTTAACATATAACTATCATAAATTTAATAATATTGATTGAGCTAATTGCTTTAGTTTTTCTTATTGGACATCTTCAAAAGATTTGAATAAATAAAATTCTAACATCTACAAAGGAATCTGTTTAGCAACTTTAACGATTTATTTAATATCGTGTAGATAAGGCAAGTTATAAATAGATANGTTTAAAATAATAATTATGCTTTTTCGATAATTTATAATTTTTTCCACTTTAATTAAAACTATCATTTTAGAAAGTTGAAAAAAAAAATAATAAATAATATCTTAAATCAGCTGCTAGTTAAGCCATAAATTGTGATGAAGTAAGCATAACAATTAAAGGTTATGCAATGACTAACTGTTATACAACTTGGGATTAATTGTAAAATAAAATGATGTAAAATTATAAGGATGCTATCTTCTCAAATTTATATAAGTTAGTAGGTTCGATTGATTTACTTGGAAATCCTATAGGATTGATTGAAAATGTGTAAGAAGGTTTTTAAGACTTATTTGAAATGCCATATGATGGATTCGTTCAAGGACCATTAGAAGGAGGTTTAGGCATAGTCAAAGGAGTTGGATTTTTAACAAAAGGTGTAGTGTCTGGTACCTTCAATTCTGTTAGCAAAATAACTGGAAGTGTAGCTTCAGGCATATCATAATTATCAATGGATGATGACTATTTACATTATAGATAATTACAAAATTCAAAAAAAGCTAAAACTCTTGTACACGGCTTAGGTTAAGGGATGGTAAGCCTTGCATCTGGAGTAGGTTATGGTTTAGCCGGACTTGTGACTCAACCATATTAGGGAGCCGAAAAAGATGGAGTTGGAGGCTTTTTTAAGGGAGTTTCCAAAGGAATAGCTGGTTTAGTCATCAAACCTGTTACAGGAGCACTTGATTTAGTGAGTAAAACTTCTGAAGGAGTAAAGAATACAGCTAATTTTTTTGATGAAAAGCCTAATGAAATGAGAAAAAGACTACCTAGAATATTTTATGGAGAAGAATAAATATTAAGAAATTATATGCTCTAAGACTCTGAAATAATGTATATTTTAGATAGTAAAAACTTTTATTAAAAATTTTAGAATTAATTCCTGGGCTAATCTTAATTGACACATTTGTGTTCATGATCACAAAGTACAAATTTGCATACGTAATCACAACAAAATAATTTATATTACTAGAAATATTAAAAAAGCAAATTTTGATTGCATTTAATAATGACAATTTAAAGGCATACGAATCTCAATAAAAGGAATACAAGATATATCTTTACAATTCTAAAATAATTTATAAAGAGAGAGCAAAAGTGAAGGCTTTTATTGAATAGAAAAAAGAATGTTTGGTAATAAAGCAATCGGACGAGAAAATACATTAATTTTTAAATGAAAAGCTTAAATAAATACTTTAACTTATGTATGATGTTTGAATTTGAAATTATTATTTCAATGAGGGTTTTTATTCATATATTAAAATTATTTTTGAAATATTTTAAGATATAACTATCATAAATTTAATAATATTGATTGAGCTAATTGCTTTAGTTTTTCATATTGGACATCTTCAAAAGATTTGAATAAATAAAATTCTAACATCTACAAAGGAATCTGTTTAGCAACTTTAACGATTTATTTAATATCGTGTAGATAAGGCAAGTTATAAATAGATAGAAAGCTGAAGATTTTTTTAGAAACTAGACTGACATGCATATTTTTTAAATCTTAATTGATGTATTTATTGAGTTCTTGATTTGTAACACTAATTATAGGAGTCAATTAATCAATAACTTCCTAAGATAGCACTAATTTATTTTAGTATTATTTATAAAACAATACCAGTATTGGTATGTGTGAATATTTGTTACTATTAAATAAAGAAGCTAAGATTTAAATAAAATTGCTTTAATCGTATTGCAATAGCTTTAAAAAATATTATTTCTCCTTTAAATTTTTGATAAACTTATACTCATAAAGCCCATCAAGTTTTGAATCAATTTATTACATATCACCAATCAATAGTAAAGTATCGATATGATTCAGAATATTATTTGGATTTAATAAATCTTGATTATTTTAGCTTAACACTTTGGATTGTACATAAATTGTTTATACGGCCTTGTTTGTAAATGAAAAATTTGACCGGCAGTAATTAGGGTCTGAAAATATTTCATTTTTAATTTATAAATTCACAGTTTTATGAGTCTTTACATCAATAATTTTAAAGATTTTAGGTCTAATTGATAGAACATAACTCCATCTTAAGGCCTACAAATATTACTTATTATCTCCAGGGTTTGTTGGGTAATATGGATATAATGATAATAAAAGCATGCTGATTGCTTTCTTAGACTTTTTGAAAGAATATCCTCCTTTTCCCATAAATACAAAACCAATAGCCATTTTTATTCCTTAATGGAAGCCAAAATGCCAAATTTATGAATTTTCCATTTTTTATATTAATGATTTTGCTATTGTCAATACTTCTTAGTCAAAGCTACCTGCCATCAAAAGAGATAATCCTTATAAAGCATTAACTATGTTAGTATAATAAGTGTATTAATCAATAGCGCATTTATTATCTGGGTCGTTGGCAAATTCATTTTAAGATATTCTTAATTTAACTAGGAACTCTATTTATTTAATCATAAGTTATTTAATTTATTAATCATGAGTTCCAGCATATTTAATACCCATAGCTAACAAGGCTCCAGAAATCATGCCAGTGTATATCATACTTACAGACATAAAATCGATGACTTCTACATTATAAACTAAATAAAACTTTTAATGGATTTTTTTTAAAGGTTATTCAAACAAAAAAGAAATTAATTCTGGAATTTAGGAATGTAAATCTTCTTAAGTTGTTGGTATAGTATCCCACATGATAATGTTTCTAGTTAAAGATTTTAAAATTATATGATTTGGGTTGCAGCTCTCCAAACTACTAAATGAATTTGGAATGTTTAATTAATCAACAATATTTTATTGATTCATTTACATAAACATTAAACTTAATGCCATTAAAGCAGCAGGGCAGGTAACATGAACATTAACCATGCTACCTTCTCTTATAGAACTACTTACACTTTCATTTTACATAAAATTGGTAGACAAAGAAGACTAAGGAGGAGGGAGTACTTTTCCTCCTTAGACAAATCTTATTAAACGATCTACAATTTAAAGTTCTCTTCTCCAAACACTTCCTTTTCCTAAATTGATTAATCCTAATGCAATTCCAGCTGCAAGGGAATATCCTTCTCTATCTATCACTTTATCATTATGAGGTTTTCTCCCTATTAAACCTAAAGCAACTTCAGTAAAATTTCTATTTCCACTGGCCATAAATAAGAATCCGAGTGAACATAATGCACTTGTAGAAACATTACTAGGAAGTTCCAAATCATAAACACTAGGTANTATGATTCAGAATATTATTTGGATTTAATAAATCTTGATTATTTTAGCTTAACACTTTGGATTGTACATAAATTGTTTATACGGCCTTGTTTGTAAATGAAAAATTTGACCGGCAGTAATTAGGGTCTGAAAATATTTCATTTTTAATTTATAAATTCACAGTTTTATGAGTCTTTACATCAATAATTTTAAAGATTTTAGGTCTAATTGATAGAACATAACTCCATCTTAAGGCCTACAAATATTACTTATTATCTCCAGGGTTTGTTGGGTAATATGGATATAATGATAATAAAAGCATGCTGATTGCTTTCTTAGACTTTTTGAAAGAATATCCTCCTTTTCCCATAAATACAAAACCAATAGCCATTTTTATTCCTTAATGGAAGCCAAAATGCCAAATTTATGAATTTTCCATTTTTTATATTAATGATTTTGCTATTGTCAATACTTCTTAGTCAAAGCTACCTGCCATCAAAAGAGATAATCCTTATAAAGCATTAACTATGTTAGTATAATAAGTGTATTAATCAATAGCGCATTTATTATCTGGGTCGTTGGCAAATTCATTTTAAGATATTCTTAATTTAACTAGGAACTCTATTTATTTAATCATAAGTTATTTAATTTATTAATCATGAGTTCCAGCATATTTAATACCCATAGCTAACAAGGCTCCAGAAATCATGCCCGTGTATATCATACTTACAGACATAAAATCGATGACTTCTACATTATAAACTAAATAAAACTTTTAATGGATTTTTTTTAAAGGTTATTCAAACAAAAAAGAAATTAATTCTGGAATTTAGGAATGTAAATCTTCTTAAGTTGTTGGTATACTATCCCACATGATAATGTTTCTAGTTAAAGATTTTAAAATTATATGATTTGGGTTGCAGCTCTCCAAACTACTAAATGAATTTGGAATGTTTAATTAATCAACAATATTTTATTGATTCATTTACATAAACATTAAACTTAATGCCATTAAAGCAGCAGGGCAGGTAACATGAACATTAACCATGCTACCTTCTCTTATAGAACTACTTACACTTTCATTTTACATAAAATTGGTAGACAAAGAAGACTAAGGAGGAGGGAGTACTTTTCCTCCTTAGACAAATCTTATTAAACGATCTACAATTTAAAGTTCTCTTCTCCAAACACTTCCTTTTCCTAAATTGATTAATCCTAATGCAATTCCAGCTGCAAGGGAATATCCTTCTCTATCTATCACTTTATCATTATGAGGTTTTCTACCTATTAAACCTAAAGCAACTTCAGTAAAATTTCTATTTCCACTGGCCATAAATAAGAATCCGAGTGAACATAATGCACTTGTAGAAACATTACTAGGAAGTTCCAAATCATAAACACTAGGTATTAAGCTAGGAATATGAACAGTTAATGATTTTTAAGTAGGCTCATCACAAGTTCCGATTCTTGAAGCTCCAATTCCTAATAATACTCCTACACTAGTTGCTTCATGATTTTATGTAAGAAGTTAATATAAATCAATCTAGTTAAACGAATTTAGATATCCTAATAATCCTAATCCTAACATAAATCCTCCATGAATGTTAGAAGGATTTTATGGTTTCTAATAAAATATCCAAGTTCTTAAAGATTCTTGACTTAACCCTTTAAGTTTTTTTGATAATTGTAATGACAATGTTACTCCTAAATGAAATTCTGGCCATTGTGTCATTTGTGTATAATCTTCTCTTGTTGAATCTATTGTTAATTTCAAGCTATTTTATTATAGGATTCCTGATAAATTTAATTATGGAAACTTAATTTAATCAGTAATAAAATGATCACTTGTACCATATGTCAAGGATCCTAATCCAACAAACATAGCTAATTTTCGGTTCAATAATTTTAATAAAACTGAAGGAGCATCTTAATCCAATCTTTCTTCAGGAATATGTTCAGTCATTTTTGTTTTTATACGAATATCTCTAGTAAAATCAAATTGTCTCTTAACTTGTTACATCAAATGCTAATCATATTAGATATCATTATCATCTTCATTTTATAAACTTTTTATTTGCCCACTCAAAATTGAATTAACGTATTTTTTAAATTCACATTCTACAGGATTTTGAATATATAATTTGCAATTTAAGTAAATGTCCATTCTATCTATTAATAAATAAGCATCTTTAGTGATTTATCCCATTAAGTCATTGGGAAAATTATTTCTTAATAAAGTGACGATTTCTAAAATAACAATTTTAAATTATAATGGCAGCTTATTAATAATATCTCTGTTCCAACGTTTTTCACTACATAAATATAACATTAATGAAGGCCCTCTTAATTTTGTGAGCATCTCAAGTTTATTTTTCTTTTGCTAAATATATTTCATTTGTAATTTTTGATTTAATACTTTTGAAAAAAATAGTTAAGTCTTTTGCACTTAATATAAAACTTAAAAATCTTAAACTTCACTCTATAATATTGAAGAAATATGAATCAATTATTTCTTTAAGATTGATTGCATAATGATGCACAATTACTTCGTTTTCTTAAATAATATTGGAAATGATATTGGATTATTCATTAATAAACTGCTCAACCATTTATTCAAGTCTATTGGATTTTAAGGTAGAATTTTTTATTTATTTTATTACTATGGTTACCCAAGTAAAGTTAAAGATCTAATAGTCGGCAAAAGAGATATAAAACTATCATTTTAATACACTGATTATAATTATGGATTTATTCTGAGGTAATAATCACTGTAATTTATCGCAACTTCATTATCCATGTTTAGGGAATAATAATATAAAAGAATCAATAATTTATTAGCTTGCTTTTCATCTGATAACAATAATTCTTAATACAATAAATGTAGAACATATAAAATCTTGTCTTAAATTTCATTAAACATTTCCATTGTCATGTGATATATAAAACTTAAACTTTATTACGATTATTGTTATTAATGAGAATTTTAAGTATTGCCATTATAACTTGAATTTTCTTTGTGATAATTAGATTTTAGTAATTATTAAAAAGATTTAGAATGTTCTTTGATGGGAGATTGCTACATTGAGGAAGAATTACTCTTAATCTTTTTTTAGATTTAATCTTCGCAATCTTTTTTATTGCTGCTTAACTTTAGGTAACATAACATTAGGTAAGTAAACCTCATGAATTCATTATCTATGTTATTCTTTGACATTTCTAGTTTAAGGTTCTAATTCTATAAGCAATTAATGATGACATCTTTAAATAGACAAATGTATTATTGAGTATCTAAGGCAATTTTCAAAGAATGTAAGATTGTCTAAATTAAGGGCTCTGTTATAATAGGAGCACAATTGAATTAAGAGATATCATTAATTTATTCATTAATTTGATAATTTAAAAGGATTTTACTACCATTTAATAAAGTAAAAGCAGAGTTTGTATGTAAAATTAATAAATTAGATGGAATATTATTGTGATTAATGATTTGATATGCCACATATTCAAATTAATTATTTTAATATTTCAACTTCTCTTTTTTAATTGATATAGTTTCAGCATATATAGAATCAATCATATTAAATACTTATATTTAACTGACTTTTTGAATAGTTTAAACTACTTTTAAACTATTGAATATATTTTTGCTTTTGTTTTCTTCCAAGAAATTCATTTCTAAAATTCTTATTGTATGATCAGATAATAGACAAATTAATAATTCTCCATCCACATTACTTTTAATTATTTCACATTATTTTGCTTTTTCTTCTTTTATATTTTCTTCATAATATAATTCACTAATGATCTAATTAAGAATATGATGTGATTTATACTTGGCAATCTGTTTTCTCAGTAAGATTATAATTTTGGACTTCTTGTTTATCATCAACCTTTAAAATATAAACACAATGTCTCATCAATTAAGAATTATAAGTTATCAATATTGGCAGAATTTTATGAGCATAAATAATTTCTTCTTGCATATGTATCCAAGGCTCTATTGTACCTAATGTGCTATTATATGTTCCTAATGTTGTAATAGAGGCGAGTGGGTGATTTAATACGACAGAATAATTAAATTCATCCCTACCCCAACCTAGCAAGAGACCTTCAGACAATGGAAAAACTTAGTTTATTTCTACATCCAAAGGTAAAAAGAATTAATTTCCTCCTTTAGATAAAAAATTAATTGACTTATCTGATTGATTTACATAATATTGTGTATTAGATTGGCTCAAGTAATCATATAAATATACCTTTGCTAATAAATGGATTCTTCCTAAATCTTTTCAATTGAGGTGATTTCGTTGAAGAAACAACTTTATTAACTCATAATAATTTCAAATTTAAATATTAGTATTACTATCAAATAATGTTTTTCGCTATATACACATTTTTGCGTTCATTCAAATATGTTACAAAATTGGAACTTCTAATAAATGTTTGATATAGCTTAACAAATTTTTGTTTTGTTTCAAACAAATCCTAAAATGAGACCTTGCAATTTTTAGTAAACTCTAAAAACTCTTTCTCATCAAATTTTTTTACTTACTAATTATAATCTTAATAAGTACATTTTATTAGGATGCAAAATACATTTCAAAAAGTCCAATAAATTCTAAAGACATATTACGATAAATTTTCTTTATTAATGAATTATTAATTGTTTTTGTTTCTTCATTTTTTATAGGAATCATCATTTTCAAAGTTTATTTGTCATCTTACAAAAAAAATTCTTTATTGCCTTAAGTTAATAATCTATTTTATTATGCTTATGAATCGCATCTAATTATAATTGGAAATTTTTTGAATGCCTAAAATATTATATATCAAATTTTTACTTTCAGAAAAAAAGGATTAGTAACTCCTATAATGATATTTCGAACGATTGAATTTTCAAGTTCTTAATTTATTTATTGAAATTCCTTATCATAAATAGTGAAATATGGTCTGTAATCCCCACTATATTTCATTGGTGAAATTAAGCTAATCATTCCAAGTATAATTTCGCTGCACTGATAAGGTGAATCAGCTATAACCATAAATTATTGATTTGTGACAATAAGTTCCCATAACTTTGGTAAATGAACTAACATTGCATGACTTTTAGTTTTTGATTATTAAATTACGGTAATGCTGCAAAAATATTGGCTTCCTAGAATTATCCAATGTCTCTTAAGTCATCAAATTGAATCATATTTGTAAGAGTTAACTCCTCTAATACTTCTTATAATTCTACATTCATTTAAGAATCAACCTTTTACATTTTTAAATAATGTGGAACTTCCACTGCTATTTTATTATTAAATATTTAAAGATTAAATAATTTATTAGGTTATGGTTTTTCCCAATTACTTATTTATTCATAAGCATACTAAAATATCAAGATTAAAGTTTACTTGTAATTATGCTTTTAAGCATCCTTGCTTGATATTTGTATATATGAGTTCTAGTAAATTATAATAGAAAGTAACAAGAGGCAGGTTTGTTAAAATTACAATCGATTTCTATGTATATCCTCTTGGATTATCTTCATCTTTTCTTTACATAAACAATGCAAATCCTAATGAAAATTTATTTTTTCCACCTGACCTTCTAACTCTAAACACATATTTAAGATGACCTTGTTTAAAAACATAATATAGTACCTTCATTTTAAGAAAATGCATTTGAATCTGGAAATGCTAACATACTTATATTTTTTTCTTCTTAATCTGTTATTGATTGTAATGGTTGTGTCCATTCAACAATTTAACCAATTTCAATGTCAAATTTTACTAAACAAATACTCTCAATCCATTAAGAAAGCATGAATTAGATTATGATTAAACAAATAATTATATTTATAATTCATGACAAAAATATAATCAATTGATTGATAATTTAGATATTTAATNAATACATTTCAAAAAGTCCAATAAATTCTAAAGACATATTACGATAAATTTTCTTTATTAATGAATTATTAATTGTTTTTGTTTCTTCATTTTTTATAGGAATCATCATTTTCAAAGTTTATTTGTCATCTTACAAAAAAAATTCTTTATTGCCTTAAGTTAATAATCTATTTTATTATGCTTATGAATCGCATCTAATTATAATTGGAAATTTTTTGAATGCCTAAAATATTATATATCAAATTTTTACTTTCAGAAAAAAAGGATTAGTAACTCCTATAATGATATTTCGAACGATTGAATTTTCAAGTTCTTAATTTATTTATTGAAATTCCTTATCATAAATAGTGAAATATGGTCTGTAATCCCCACTATATTTCATTGGTGAAATTAAGCTAATCATTCCAAGTATAATTTCGCTGCACTGATAAGGTGAATCAGCTATAACCATAAATTATTGATTTGTGACAATAAGTTCCCATAACTTTGGTAAATGAACTAACATTGCATGACTTTTAGTTTTTGATTATTAAATTACGGTAATGCTGCAAAAATATTGGCTTCCTAGAATTATCCAATGTCTCTTAAGTCATCAAATTGAATCATATTTGTAAGAGTTAACTCCTCTAATACTTCTTATAATTCTACATTCATTTAAGAATCAACCTTTTACATTTTTAAATAATGTGGAACTTCCACTGCTATTTTATTATTAAATATTTAAAGATTAAATAATTTATTAGGTTATGGCTTTTCCCAATTACTTATTTATTCATAAGCATACTAAAATATCAAGATTAAAGTTTACTTGTAATTATGCTTTTAAGCATCCTTGCTTGATATTTGTATATATGAGTTCTAGTAAATTATAATAGAAAGTAACAAGAGGCAGGTTTGTTAAAATTACAATCGATTTCTATGTATATCCTCTTGGATTATCTTCATCTTTTCTTTACATAAACAATGCAAATCCTAACGAAAATTTATTTTTTCCACCTGACCTTCTAACTCTAAACACATATTTAAGATGACCTTGTTTAAAAACATAATATAGTACCTTCATTTTAAGAAAATGCATTTGAATCTGGAAATGCTAACATACTTATATTTTTTTCTTCTTAATCTGTTATTGATTGTAATGGTTGTGTCCATTCAACAATTTAACCAATTTCAATGTCAAATTTTACTAAACAAATACTCTCAATCCATTAAGAAAGCATGAATTAGATTATGATTAAACAAATAATTATATTTATAATTCATGACAAAAATATAATCAATTGATTGATAATTTAGATATTTAATATCATGTCAATTACCTTTATTCTTAAATACAAATTTGAGCTGAATTTTACAAAAATAGAATAAAATATTTATATATCAAAGATTATAAATTAAATCATCTTTGCATGGTACCTCCAGTGCTTTCTTACATACAATTATAATAAAAATTTTTCAAGATTATATCTTTTGGATAATTTTCCATCACATTTTATTATAATGGTTTAATGTATTACAGAAATTCTGCTTCACCTTTACCAAACTCCTCTTCATCAAAATTAAAGGCAAAACAATCTGGTTTAAATGGGGGTTCAATCTTTTTTGACAATAAGTCTTTATAAAGATTTTTATCTCCCCATTAAATCATCCAAGGATGTCTTAATATAGTATCAATACTTTCGATTCTTTTTCTAGGATTCTTTGCCAATAATCCATTCAATAGATCTTTAATGGATGCAGATAAGTTTTATGGAAAAGTTAGTTTAGCATTCAATATTCTTTAATATATTTCATCTGTGTTTCTTGAATAGAATGGAGGTAATCCTGTAACTAATTCATACAGAAGTGCTCCTAAACAATATAAATCTAACTATATAGTATGGCCTGATTTTAAAAGCATTTCAGGTGCCATATATTCTGGACTACCACAAAAAGAGTAAGCTACTTCTTGATCAACCATACCTGGTTTTGATAATCCAAAATCTGCAATACGAACATGTCCATCAAAATCAATTAAAATGTTCTCTGGTTTGATATCTCTATAAATAATATTATTATCATGAAGATTTTTCATTCCAAGACAAATCTCAGCAAAGTAAAAAAATGCTTCTTATTCGTTCATTCTTTTTACCTATAGTTATGTTGATTTATCTTTACCTTTCTTAATAGATAAAATAATTCTCCTCCAAAACAATATTCTAATACAAAAACCAGATATTTTCGTGATTCAAATGCATATTACAAACCAACAATAAATGGATGATCCAAATTTGACATTATATCCCTTTCTTATTAAATAATTTATTATTTATTTTATTAAAGAATTGGTTTTTTTTCTATCAATTTCATAGCATAAAATTATCCTGTATGCACTTCTCTAACCATATACACTTTTGAAAATCCTCCCATTCCTATACACCTTATAAATTCAAAATCCTTAAGTGTGACTCTAGCTGCTTTTGGTTCATTAGGATTTAGAATAATTGGTTCTATTTATAGAGGTTGAATTGGAAATCCTGACAGTAAATTTAAAGGTTTTTCAGGTTTAGATAGAATAAAATCAATTGGTATAGAAATTCCAGTAGTTCTAATCCCTTATATAGGTATTCCAAGTTCTTGCTTAACAAAATCAATTAACCATTAAATCTTATTCATGGATATGTCTATCGCATATTTTTAACGGAAGTTTTTATATTAAAGCACAATTGTCATCATTTCCTATTTTCTGTTAATAATAAAATAAATTTATACCTAGCAGTAGTTGGTTTAAACTTCTCTAAAAAAATAAGCGGTTATGATCCAGAATGAGTTTAAAACTTTTATTCAATCGATGGGCTCTTTGGAAAGAATTATTACTATTTAGAGTTCTTAGTTTTAGCTAGCAATTCTTCTATAAGTTTTTTTTCTTTGCTAACTACTTTACTTGTAGCTGAAAGTGGAATAGACATTAATTATTGCATTGACTCTTTTAAATTAACTTATGAGTTCTAGTGAGAATGTGGCTATGTTTTCATATGGATTTGACTCAAAACCTTTGGAGACATAAGACCAATTCTTGATTTTGTTGTTTCAGGTTATTGTAATTTCCTTTAGCTTTGTCTCATCATGTTTTAGAGCAAAGTTTATTATTACTAAGTTACTTTAACTGGTTATGGACTTTGATGAGTTTAAGTCTTCATTTTTAGTTAATCAAGTTATTTGGTTGGAGATTATCGACCATTCTATGGATCTCTGTTTGAGAGAAAATTGATTATTGCTTAAGCAGAGATATCAGAAGACTAGGTTTTATGATGTTGTTTCTTTGGAGGCATTAATAATTAAATTAATGGAAGATAATTATAATACTAACTCTAGTTCATAACCAAATGAAAACCCCTATCCTAAATTTGAACCTGAAAAGCAAAACGAATAACCTTAAGTGGAACAACCTCCCCAATATGCTTATACAAATGACTTAAATCAACCTCTGATTATGGGTGAAGATTAACATGACAGTGGTGATTAAATTGACAAATTTTTATTGTATACAAGATATCTTAATATCGGTGCTGGGTAAAAAAATATAATATTAAAGAATGTATGTTGCAATTGTAGGGTTATACTTTTTATTCACTCTGAAAATATGGAATTCTTCTAACTTTTTAATGTCATTTTATACAATGTTTCTTCCATTATTTTATGTGTAAAAAATTAATAATAAATATATAGGTTTTTCGGTGTATTGTTATTATTAGCTGAATATTACAAATTAGAAGTGAATATCTATTTTAGATTTTTGAGATCTTATTTGGGAAGGGGAATATATAATATTTTGTAATATATATTGTGTATTTTTCTTAGCTTAGGAACTTAATGTGTTAATATTTGGGCAAGATCGAGTGACTTTTTCAGTTGGATACTCTTTACTCTTGGTCTAATCTATTTATTTTTACATATAATTCGATCTAAAATTCATTAGGATGTAAAATAGAAGCTATTAGATTGATTTAATATTATCATTTAACATTTTACAATAAGAATTATAATAAAATATGCAAGTCCAAACAAATGAAAACATGCCATATTTTCCAAAAAACAATAATAACAAAGGAGTAAATGTTTTTAAATTGAACTATATTGGATGCCTTCTCCAATCATTTAGTATTATTTTAGGGTATTGCAATGATTATTTATTGATAGAATTTTTGTGTATTACAATATTGTGATTAAACTTAAAGCAACATATTCGCTTAGTTTTCTATATAATCATTTATTTGAAATGTATTTTATTACTTAATCTATTGTTTTTTAGGATCACTACCATTTTTGAATCTATTGAATAAATATTATTTTGAAAAGTACTTCAGATTTTATTGTGAATTTTATGGATAAGCTTTGTGGAATTTTTTCATTATTTAAAATCTAGAAATTGAGCATCAATTTGTGAAAACTGGACTAGAATAATATGTAGTTTTATTATTCTTTATGGATTTTACCTAATCAGCATACAAAAATACACAATTATTCAATTGAATAAAATTGATAAAGTTTTAGAATATAAAAATTATTACTAATATAATTTATATGAATTAATAGGTTTAAACGAAGGCTGCTTCACAATTATAATTTATTGTTCCATAAAAGGCTTAATTAATTTTCGATGTGAATCAAGCATACTAGGCTTATTCTTTACCAAAAATTTAATATCGTTAATAATTACCCGAATTACCAGATATTCCATCAAAATCAATAAAGTAATTTGATGAAAAATAAGAGCAAACAAAAATAAAGAATGACAATTAAATTTTTAAGGAATGGAATGTCAATTACTAAGAGGATATATTGTAAATTACATTTAATAATTTAGAAAGAGATTAGCAAATAATAAATAACTGAAAGCCCAATAAAATACAGATTTATTAGACAATTTACGAT